ACAAAAACTGAGGACTGATGGATGTGGGGGGGAGGGGGGATGGGCATGGAGGAGGACACTTGTGGGGATGAGCACTGAGTGTTATGTGGAAACTAATTTGACAATAAACTATTTGTAAAAAATAAATAAATAAATAAAAGCAACCATTTTAAGGGTTTTGTTATAAAAAAAAATACACTGATTTCAAAGAATCATCATTTAAAAAAAGAATGCAAGTAATACTAATACATGTTGAAAATATATTTTGGATATACCAGGTTAAGTAATAAATTAATATTAATTTCACCTAGGTTTTTTAAACACTTTTTAATGTAACCACTAGAATTTAAAAGTATGTCCATGCCTCACATTATATTTCTATCGAACAGCACTGGTCTGGTCTCTTTCCTGGATCCTAAATGGTACACATTTATAGGTATAAAACATATGATCTAAGCTAGGGGTATCCCATGTTATAATGATAGAGAATAAAAGTAGCAGGTCAACAAAAGAATTAAATCCATGATGTCAAAATCAGTAACTGGATGGGGCGCCTGAGTGGCTCAGTCGGTTGAGCACATGACTTCGGCTCAGGTCACGATCTCATGGTTTGTGGGTTCAAGCCCCGCATCGGGCTCTGCGCTGACAGCTAGCTCAGAGCCTGGAGCCTGCTTCAGATTCTGTGTCTCCCTCTTTCTCTGACCCTCACCTGCTCATGTTGTCTGTCTGTCTGTCTCTCTCTCAGAAATAAATAAAACATTAAAAAAATTTTTTTAATCTATAACTGGATGTTAACTTTACAAATTGTGGTGACTGTTTTGCATTGCACACCTAATGTTATATGTCAAATACACCGCAATAAAAATAAATCTATAACTAAATGAATTAACCATCTATACTTTCAAGGAATTTGTAAATTAACAATGGGTATAAGTATAAAAGAGCAGCAAGAAGTCAGTCCTATCAACTCAGACCTTATCAGTCTGTTTACTTGGGGAAATCTCTCGTACCTGAATGCTCACATCCTTATACATGTAAAGGATAATGTTAATGATAACTGTCATGTACTAAACACTCAATTTATGTTAGATGCTTTACAAAGATTCCTCCTGTAGTCTTTATATCAATCCTAGAGTTGTATTAATCAGGGCAGGCTAACCGCTGAAACAAACATCCTCCAAATTTCAGTGGCTTATCAAAATACATGTTACTTCTTCCTTATACCTAATGGGCGTGGTAAGAGTGTCAGCTGACTCTGCCCCAAACTTCTTATGTCTCATAGCTCTGATCTCTAACAGGTCTCTATGGTTGTCTCCAGTCAACCAGCAGATGGAGAAAATGAGAGAAGAGTCCACCTGGGGGATTTTTATGGGCCAAACCAGGAAGTTTATTTCTTGGCACTTTATTTCCACAAGCATTCCATTGCCAGAACTCAACCATGGACAGACTAATCTGCAAGAAAGCCTGAAAATACAGAGTTTAACTATGCTCAAGAATAAAAGGAGAACATGGGTACTGCAAACATTATCAGTCTTTTCAATAGGTCTTATTTCTATATTCTATACTATACATAGAATAATATTCTACATTATTTAGATATAAATAACAATATAACGTAGAATAGTATCTCTATTTTACAGAATAGGAAACTGAGTCTTAGAAACATTAAAGTAGGGGCACCTGGATGGCTTAGTCAATTAAGTGTCCAACTTCAGCTCAAGTCATAATTTCACAGTTGGTGAGTTTGAATCCCACATCGGGCTCGCTGCTGTCAGCCTGTCAGTGCAGAGCTGGCTTCAGATACTCTGTTCCCCTCTTGCATTCTTGTTTCCAGCTTGCATTCTTCCCTCCACCCTGCCAAAATAAAGAAACATTATAAAGTAAATTCCCCAAGGCCACACCTAGAAAATGACATTCAGCCACAGGTCTGTAGGCCCCCAGACCCATGTTTTTTCTACGTAACACTGCAGAACTCACAGAAATTGCCACCATCTCAGTATACTTATTACAGTAGAAAGATTCAGCAAAGGGTCAGGAGATGTTAGGGGACTGAACTATTTATCTTCCCCTGCCATTACAAAAGAGCAAGTTTGGGAAAATCTATTTAGGCAATCAAACTCTCACTTTGCATCGCTAAAGAATATGTCTGCATGACTTGAGGAAAATCTTCAACAAACAAAAAACAGAACTGAAGAGGTGGGTATTTCATTGCCAAAATGCCATAGTCAAATACGTAAGTTCCCAGGATATTCCATAAATGATTATAGTCTAACAGGATTAATATGAGAAGACCAAAGAATACTTATGTTTTGAAGGCTAGAATAATCTATTTTATCCAGAATCCAAAAACACCCAGAACACCTTAATAATCAGATTTATTTTGCAGAGCTACTCAATAACAATTCTTGCTTGTATTGGTGAGCCTACACCACACCAAGATTCTAAAGTTTCTTCTGAATTATCAAAGAACTACTTTATCATATTTAATCTTATCACTAAGAATTCTATTACAAAATAACTCATTCGAGGTTGATAATTCATGTAGACTATGTATGTTAACTCAGCCACACTGTTCAAATATTCAGGATTATTTTGTTCTTTGATATTTCTGCACAAACAGAAATCAATTACATTTAGGGGAAAGACAGAACATGAAGTGATTAAGATGAAAGTGGAGCACTTTCTTCACAGGCAAATGACTAGTGAGCTGGCAACATAGTGTAGATAAGATTGTTAGGTATACGGAAAAATCATTAAGCAAATGTGGCTATAAATCAGATAGAAGTCAAGGCACACCAAAAGATTAGTTTGGTAAAAAGTGCTTGAAAAAATCATAAAAATCCTTGAAGTTCATAGACTTAAAATCTAATTTGATATGAAAGACCACCTTAGGCTCTAAATTGCTGATGGAAATAATTACATTTTTTCTAAGCGGCCATGGAATTATGTTTTTGGTTCTGGTGGGAAGGTCTGGAAGCAGACAGGAAAGCTATTTAGAAGGATAACCACTATGAAAGTGAAAAAGAGTAGATCCAATGATGCTAGTCATTTGCTATTTTTCCCCTCTCTATTTTTTTATTCATTGCATCTCAGGAGCACTTCCATATTTTGTTACTCAGTATTTCTGATCCTACTGAATTTTACAAACATGTTTCTGAGAGAATACAGTTTGTTTTCTTGTTCAGTTTTGTCATTCTTAGAATGTTATTTATCTAACTTAAGCCTCTATGGGATAATCTTTTACTGTTCTCACAATGTATATTTTCTAAGCTTAATGCCACTTAAGCATGTTTTTTACAAGTCTGAAAAAAAATCATATGTCTTAACTCCATCCTCACAGAGACATGACTTGAGTTAAACCTATTCTAACAGGTACTGTCCTTTATTTTAGCTGGGTGAGTGGTATTTTCAGAGAAGCAGTTTTCCTCCACACTCTGTCAGGTGCCATGTAAGTGAATTTTGTTCTATCAGAGCTTCCCTACCTTACTCAGGAATATTCCTCAAAGCCAAAGCTGTCTAAGCTCCAAAACTGATATAGGACTATACAAGACAATTGGAAGTCAAGTGCTTAAGTTTTTACCACTATGTGTCAAGCACTGTACTGCCCACCTTAATACATCCCCAAAATTGTCCTGTAAATCCAGTCATCTGATCTGTCAGCCTGAACCCCATTCTCTCTTTGTGAGAAATTCCAGTGCCCTTAATCCTGGGCACTTTCATTCTCATGGTCAACTGTGGCTCCCACTTCTACTGAACTCTTGATCTCACACATGTCTTGTAGAGGTCTTGCAGATGCTTGCTTCTTTGTTCTAAACAGAGCTGCTTTCCTTGACTTCCCCCAAACCACACAGACAATGCAATGCTCTGACTTGTTACACTACTGAAAAGGTAACAACTAAATGCTGTAAATTAGATATCTATGGTTTTTAAAGTTCTTGGCCACAAAGCCACCAGGGAATTTTATATCCTTCTCCAGAGGATCTAACCTCCTATCTATATTGTATGGCCTTTTCTTCAACTCCACCCTTCCTTGTCTTTCTTCCTGGCATTCTTCCTCCCACATCTTTATTCACTTCTTTATGCAGGACTGCTTAGTTCTCTCTTTGTACTGCAGTCTCCTAGACTACACTTGCAAGGCCTCACTTTCCACACTCACGGAAGTTTATCAAAGCATTTTCCTAAATACAGACAGTTCTGTAAGTAGAACTGTAGTACTGGTGTTTAATAATATTTTCTAACACACACACACACACACACACACACACACACACACGCACACACACATTTCATTTAACAAATAAAGCAACTAAGCATCAGAAGGGATGTTTCACAGCTTACATAGCTTGGTAACGCAAGTCATTTTACCCTAAATAGTTTTGTCTTTTTAAAATACAATGTTACAATAATTCTTTAAAAATATCTAATAAAGTATTATGAGCAGAGAAACAATTTCTGTAAGCAGTCCTCTCATTCATTACAATTTCACCTAATGTACAGTATAAACTCGACCATTTCATCTGCATAAGCTCAAGAAATTAAATAAGATTTTCTCCCTAAGTTATTTATATATCTGCAAAACAATTTTTTTAATTTAATTAATAAATAGAGGTTTCACCTCCTACACTGTTGGTGGGAATGTAAACTGGTGCAGCCCCTCTGGAAAACAGTGTGGAGCTTCCTCAAAAAATTCACAACAGAACTCCTCTATGACCCAGCAGCTGCACTGCTAGGAATTTACCCAAGGGATACAGGAGTGCTGATGCATAGGGGCACATGGACCCCAGTGTTCATAGCAGCACTCTCAACAATAGCCAAAACGTGGAAAGAGCCTAAGTGTCCATCAACAGACGAATGGATCAAGATGTGGTTTATCTATACAATGGAATACTACATGGCAATGGGAAAGAATGAAATCTGGCCATGTGTAGCAACATGGATGGGACTTGAGGGTGTTATGCTGAGCGAAATAAGTCAGGCAGAGAAAGACAGATACCATATGCTTCTACTTATAGGAGGATTAGGAGAAACTTAATGGAGGGCCATGGGGGAGGAGAAGGGGAAAAAATAGTTGGGGAGAGGGAAGGAGGCAAACCATGAAAGACTCTTGAATGCTGAGAACAAACTGAGGGTTGCTGGGGGGGGGGGAGGGGGAGGGGAAGGGGGGGTGATGGGCATGGAGGAGGGCACTTGTGGGGATGAGCACTGGGTGTTATATGGAAACCAACTTGACCGTAAATTATAGAAGAAAATATAATAATAATAATAATAATAATAATGGTGCCTGGGTGGCTCAGTTGGTTAAGTGACCAACTTCTGCTCAGGTCATAATCTCACAGCTCATGAGTTCAAGCCCCCCCGCTGGCTCTGTGCTGACAGCTCAGAGCTCAGAGCCTGCTTCAGATTCTGTGTCTCCCTTTCTTTCTGCCCCTCCCTGCTCAGGCTCTGTCTCTCTCTCCTTCAGAAATAAATAAACATTAAAAATTTTTAATTAATAAAATTAATAAAAATATTTTAGAGTAGTTTTAGGCTCATAGCAAAATCAAAGTACAGAGAGTTCCCGTATACCCCCATCTGCCCACACACACACCCTCCCCCACTATCTATACTCTGTACCTGTAGTACCTTTGTTACAATTGATCAACCTACACTGACACATCATAATCACTTAAAGTATACAGTTTATGTTAGGGTTCACTCTTGGTTTTGTATGTTCTATGAGTTTTGACAAATGTATAACATGCATCTATCATACAGAATAGTTTCACTGCCTTAGAATTCCTCTGTGCTTCACCTATTCATCTGTTCCTGCCTTCTAACCACTGACAACCACTGATCCTTTAACTGTCTCCATAGTTTTGCCTTCCCCAGAATATGTACAGTTGGTATTATACAGTATGTGTTTTTTTCAGATTGGCTTCTTTCACTTAGTAATGTGCATTTTAGGTTTCTCCGTATCTTTTCATGGCTTGATAACTCATTTCTTCTTTTTTTTAAGATTTTATTTTTAAGTAATCTCTACACCCAGCATGGGGCTCAAACCTGCAACCCCAAGATCAAGAGCCTCACATTCCACTGACTGAGACATCCAGGTGCCCTGATAGCTCATTTCCTCTTAGCATTGAATAATATTCCATTTTCTGGAGGTACCACAGTTCATGTTTTCTTTCACTTACTGATGAACATCTTGAATGCTTCCAAATTTTGGCAATTAGAAATAAAACTGCTGTAAACATCCATGAACAGGCTTCTGGTGAACGTAAGTTTTCAGCTCTTTTGAGTAAATACCAACGAGTACAACTGCTGGAATATGTTTAGTTTTGGTAAGAAACTGCCCATCTGTCTTCCAAAGTGGCTGTACCATTTTGTACTCCCAACCATGACTGAGCGTTCCTGCTGTTCATACCCTCATCAGCATTTGGTGTTATCAGTTTGGGATCTGGGTCATTCTAACAGGTGTACAGTAGTACCTCATTGTTGCTTAATTTGCAATCCTTAAGGACATATGATGTGGAACATCTTTTCATACATTTACTTAATATCTGTATATCTTCCTTGGTGAGGTATCTGTTCAGATAATACTGGTTTTTTAAATAAAACTTTTATAATATCCATCATCTTGCATTGTCACGGACCCTGCTTTTATTCTTTTAAGTTTCTTTATTTTGAAGAGAGAGAGAGAGAGCGGGGAGGGGCAGAGAGGGAGAGAGAAAGAATCTCAAGCAGGCTCTGTGCTGTTAGCACGAAGCCCTACACATGGATCAATCTCACAATCTGATCTGTGAGATGGTAACCTGAGCTGACATCACAGGTCAGATGCTTAACTGACTGAACCACCCAGGTGCCCTGACCCTGCTTTTAAAAATTAAAATAAATTTACTCCAGGTCTCTCATCTTACAAATAAGAAAATTGTGTCAGTAGAGGTGAAAGTTGAATCCATGAAAGTAGCTACAAATTTAGGTACAGACAGAAGTGGGCTGAGGACTGAGCTTGTCAGAGGAAAGAAATCAATGAAACACGAAGTAAAGAAATGGCCAGAGAAAAGGAAGTAGAACAAGAAGAATAGAGTGTTATAGGAGTCAAGGGAGGCTAGAGATGAAGCAAATGTTGTTTGTTCATTTGCTTTGACAAAGAGCATAGCCAGCAGCAACTAGCCTTTATGTGCTGCCAATGATCATTCCTCCTTAGGAGGCAGCATGGCACAGTGGAAAGAACATTAGACTGCCCCTGTTCCATAAACTGGGGCACTTAACTTTAAAAACTTTCTGGTTTGTTCTAGTTTGTTTATCTGTAACATGAGTCTATGTTTCTTCTAGCTTCCAAAGTCCTATGTTTTCTTTCCTATGGTCTTTCCTCTTTTGCTTTTTCTATTTTTTGGATATCATCTTTCTTCTCTGATAATTTTGATCATTTATTTAGCAACCATTTCGCTGCGGCCAGTTATATCCCTGTGACTGCCATCTAACCAAGGTGTTAAAAGTAATTCGTTAAAAATATCTAATAAAGTATCATGATCAGAGAAACAACTTCTGTAAGTAGCCCTCTCTTATTCATTACAATTTCACCTGATGTGCAGTATAAATTGAAATTGACCATTGCACCTGCATAAACTCAAGAAATTTAATTAAGATTTTCTCCCTAAGTTATTTACATATCTGCAATGTCCTACTGCCTTGGATACAACTAGAATTTGGAATTAAATAATTTTTGGAGTTTAAAGCATCTATTGGCAAAGTTATCTCTAATCCACGGTTTTCAAAGGGAATTAATACCAAGAAGAAGCAGTCTCTACCCAAGTGAGAATTTCACAGCTTAAATTTACAAACAAGCTATCAAATATTTTTATTCTCTTGAATAAAAACAGTATAAGTCAGCTAAGATATAATTACAACTAGTAATTGTTACTGTTACTACATTAGTTTCATTTATAAAATATTACTTCTCCCCTCCTTAAGACAGCCACTGTTTTACATAAACAAAATGTTATGTGGTTATATTATGCAGCCAAACACATGAATACAAAGAATAAGCCAGATATATCAACCAAGGCCAGTGATATGAAATGGATTAAAGAAAAATTGAGTGCAGTGAGAGAACATTTAAACCAAAAGCTTACCTGAAAAATTGAAGCATCCAAGATGTCAGTCAAGTGTGTATACAGGGTCAGATGGTTTCCAGTTCAACAGCAAAATATAGGACAGTCCAGCCTAACAAGATGAAATAGTAGGGAGAAAGTTGCACATTTATTTTCCCTTAGAGAGTAGAGATGTACTAGCGAAAACTTTTTCTGTACTAATTTGTAACTTTCGAGATAAAGATATATTTATTAGACTCTGGAACTCTGTGTAAGATAGGCAGAGGAGACAAGTAAATAAACCTGACTGGCTGAAGTCCTCATGGACACAGCATAATCTATGCCCACTATTTTGTTCTACCTGTATCATTTAAGGTACCAGAAGATAAACATCTTTAACCTGTAAGGAAACAAAAACACAAACCTGGAAATAATAAGAAAAGATAGGAGACTATTTCCAGTGTCTGGGGTATTTATAAGATAAGGTAGGATATTATCTTCATTCCTGGAAAGCCTGAATCCAATTACTTTTTCTAAAATGAAAGAAAGAAAAAAACCCTTCACATTCTATTAGATACTTCTCTGTCTTTCCTTTATCTAGTCACTCATTGATCTCTTAACACTTTTGTCAACCAGTTCCCATTGAATCAATTTTTTGAAGGTCATTAGTAACCCTCTAAATATTATATTCAATAGATATCTATACCCCCAATTTTTTTACAGATCTGTGTTATATGGCACTACTAATCACCTTTCCCTTTTTGAAAGTTTGATATCCTGTGTTTCACAACATTGTGCTATCTTAATCTTCCTGCTACCTCTTTGAGCCTTTTCTGCCTCCTTTGAACTCTCCATTTATTTCCATATATTTTCCATAGGTAATTAACTACAAAGTACTACAACAAAGTACAATATAATTCAGTATCCTCAGTGTCTTTTTGAATAACCCAAGGACCTTAAGATGCTTTAACCAAATGCAATGGAATGTCACTCCTCTTTTGTTTAATTGTCTAGAATATTTTTTAGTTTCAATTTTTGTTTAACCACACACACACAAACAAGAAATCATTTTCAATAAATAAATTTCTCAACATGTTACCAATTTCTGTAATTTAGTTTTGTTTCTTCTATGCCATGCTTTCCTTTTGGACTTAGTAATATCACAGAGGCATATTCTATGATCATGGTTTAGTGAGAAATCTATAGGTAGTAAACTCCTTTAAATCTTTACATGTCGTGAGTAGGGGCGCCTGGGTGCCTCAGTTGGTTATGCAACCGACTTCAGCTCAGGTCATGATCTCACTGTTTGTGGGTTCAAGCCCTGCATCAAGGCTCTGTGCTGACAGCTCAGAGCCTAGAGCCTGCTTTGGTTTCTGTGTCTCCCTCACTCTCTGCCCCACCCTCGCCTGTGCTCTGTCTCTCTCTCTCTCAAAAATGAATAAACATTTAAAAAATAATAATAAATAAAATTTTTGTAAATATAGATTCCCATGTTAAAAACAAAAACAAACAAAGCCCCAAAACACCTCTAACTGGCACAACTTGAATGTAGTGCCTATTCCATATCCAAACAAATTATGTAGAGAGTCATCTTATTCAGAATCGTTGCCAAAAGCTTTGCTTTGACTCTGAGGAAGAACTGGGTAATTATAAGCTGAACAAATAGATAAACTCATCCTCATTTATTCTCCCAGTTATCCTGGCTGAAAACCTCAAAGTCAGCTTTGGTTTATCCTTCTCTCTTGTTTACTATATAGTTCTGTCACCAAGAACAATTTCATTCTTTTTTCAAAACTCCTCTTTACTATTCTATCTTCATTTCCACTGCTTTATTATTTGCCAAAATGATAGATTCAAAAAAAGTTAGTTCACTGAAGTTACATTTATATTTCTTTACTGGTGGAAATAAATATTTTTCATTTTTCCCTTATGTTATGGACTATCAGTATTTCTGCTTCATTGGTTTGTGTTATATAAATTGTGTGTCTCTGTCTTCTCATTCATATGATGAAGTACTAATCCCGTCCCCCCCACCCCCCCGCAATATGACTATACTTAGAGATAGGGCCTTTACAGAAGAAATTAAGGTTAATTTGAGTTATAAGTGTGGAGCTCTAATCAATAGGACCAATGTTCTTATAAGAAAAGGAAGAAATGCCAGGAATGCTTGTCCACATAAGAAAGGCCATGGAAAGACTCAGTGAGAAGGCTGTCTGCAAATCAAGGAGACACTAAAAGTCTCAGGAGACACTAAAACTGTCAACATCTTCATCTTGGACTTCTAGCCTCCAGAATTGTGACAAAATAAATTTCTGCTAAGCCACCTAGTCTGTGGTATGTTGTTAGAGCAGGCCTAGCTGACTAACACTGTTTGCCTGTGTTCATATTCCATTTTTCTTTTATTTTCTTCCGATGAAAGCTCTCTTAATATTAAGACTATTCACCTTTCATACAAAATAAATGTTACAAATATTTCTTCCAATTTATTTTGTACCCCCTCACTTTTCTGTTTTGTTTTATACACTGAAAATTTTTTTTTAGTGTAGTAAAATTTTTCAAGCCTTTCCTTATGATTGCTACATTTGAAATTGTGCTTAGAAAGTTGTTCCATTGTTACAGCATACTTTTGGTCACCTATATTTTTTTCCAATTCTTTTTTGTCTCAACTGAATTTTGTTTTCAATGTATGATGTAAGATACAGATCAATTTTTTTTTCATACAGCTAACCAATTATCCCTGTACCACTTACTCATTTTCCCATTTATTTTAGATCTATTTTTCTCATATCATAAATACTTATATGCAATTAAAACTCCTGTTGCTTTTTATTTATGATATTCACTTGTTCGATAACTCATTTTGGAAATTATATTGTTCCACATTTATCATTAAGGAAAACGAGTTTTTCACCAAATTAAAGGAACATTATTCTGGGTGTCTCAAATGATAAAAATTATAAAAACATTAAGTAGGAAAAGTTTTTAAATTAAAATACTATATCACATAATTGTTTAGTTATAAATAAACATCAAGATAGATACAAAATTATTTTAACCCAAATGAAAGAGGAAAGGGGGTACCTACCATCTGATTTAGTTGCACTTTTTGATCTAACTAAATGATAAGAAAAGAAAAATGATAGAGAAGAAACTTCATGAGGATTGCCAATTGGCCTTTTCAGGTTCCTTTCAAGAGAATCCTTATCTTTTTAATTAGTTATTTTTAAAAGTTTTTTTTCCCCTCATGGGACAGGAGGGGTAATATATCTATGTAAAAGTATATTTTACACACTTAGTGGTAAGAATAAAACCTGCCTAATGGGAATCACTGGGCTGAAGCTTGTGTTGTTCTCTCAAAGGGTACAGATAAGATGTAAGTTGCCTAGGCCCGGCAATGCTCATGTTGAACGTGCTCTGACACCGGTTGAGTCTCTCCTGTCCATATTCAAAGCCAGAACCATTCCAGGGATTTTAAAGAAAATTCAAAAGATAAAAATCATGTCAAATCTATTACTATAAGCTATTATTTTCTCTTTGCTTTCCATATGGCGAGCACTGCAAATGTGAAACGTATTACCAACATGACTTTAGAAACAATGCAACTGAAACTCTCCCCACGACGAAACTAGCAGAAAGCGGTTCACCGCAGCCGAATTCTCTCGCGTACCACGGCGCTGTGCAGCCTCAAAGAGCTGTGCCCAAGACGAACTGCTAAAGTCAAACTAGACAGGACTGGGGACAATCGCAGACCGGCGTCAGAGGAATAGAAAAGCACCCTCACTCTACCCAGCCTGGCCTCTCCGGAGCTTCTTTGGAAGTATGGAAGATAGGGGGACAGACACGGACGGTGGGCGTGGAAAGGCGGCGCTCTCTAATAGGGAGGACGCAGAGAAAACTCACTTAAGATTTCTGAAAGTCATATCGTAAACACGTTTAAAAAACAAACAAACAAAAAACTATAATGACGCGCCCGGCCAACACCTTGTAAAGGAGATACTGCAAACTCCTCACAGCTCGCATCAACTCTGGGACCGCCAAGCCCATCCCAGCATCCTTTGCGCCGCGCACTGAAAGCCCTGGCGCGGTTTGGCTCCTTCGGCCGCCGTAGGCTCGAAGTTGCTATGGAAACCCAGCTACCTTCGCTATGTCGTTGCAGCAGGCCCCTCAGTCACGGGTGTTCGTGGAACTGGTTCCCTGGGCTGACCGGGCCCGGGAAAACAATGTGGGCTCGGGGGGTGAGTTGCTGCCCGCACTCCGACGCCCCGTCCACTCAGCACAGGCCCAAACTGCGACCCGCGAAGTGCACGTAAGTGGCACCGCTGAGGTGTCTGCGAGCCCCGACCGGGCGCAGGTGGCGGTGCTAGTGAGCAGCACGAAGGAGGCGGCGGCCGAGGCCAAGAAGAGCGTTTGCCGCCGCCTGGACTACATCACGCAGAGCCTCCAGCAGCAAGGTCTGCAGGTGAGAGTTTTGTTGGGGAGGAACCTCGGGCCGGACCGCAAAAACCGGAGGTAGAGTTCCCGGCCCCGACGGTCCCTGGTGTGAGTTGAGGTGTCTAGGGTCTTGACCTTTATCTCATCGGTATTACGGAGCGACAGGACCTGGCGGAGTAAAACTTTCGGTCCATCTTCTAGATGAAAGTACTTGTTGGCCCCAGTGGCTTATGAAATAAAAGAATATAAATCGAGTGGGTTTTTATTTGGCGATATTTGCGGCAGTCATTTTGTATTTTACCTTGATAGGGGTTAACTGTTAGACTTGACACATTAGATGAAAGTGCTTGCCTAAGTATACTAGACACTAATAGTTTTTTGTTTTTATTCTGAACCATGCAGTTAGCGAGTGAAAAGCATGCTTCCTCCCAACCATGTAAAGCGTTGCATGGAGTGGTTCTTCAGTATTTTTCACAAACAGTAACTTAAGGAAAGTTGTATCCATCATCGTTTAATAAAGACTCAAAAATTTCTGCTAAGCTTTTTAGTTTTAACTTTAAAAATAATTAAGCCAGTATATTGTAGATGCCACATAAATGAAATACCTCTATTTACCAGAGATATCCATGGAACAAATCACTAAGTAAATCTCACCTTAACTGTACTTCTAAGAAAAGAAGAAAAAAATGAACTAGCTTTTTATTTAATCTCAACAACAGCTCTGTTACTCGGGTTTTAATAGCCCCATTTAGATTTAAGGAGGTTACATAATTAGCTCTAAACTTTAGCCAGGATGGTGTTTGAACTCTTGTCTTCCCGAAACTAAACTCTTCGTTGCTTCCAACCATCGCTGGCCCCTGAAAATTGTAATACAAAGAAAATGAAGAAGCCCCAGAATGAGTTAACTATCTCATTTCCTTTATTTTACACAGTAGGACTCAAAAGGCCGGAGTTGGGATTTACCCAAAGTAACACTGAGTTCATAAAAGTGCTTCCAGTCTGTCGTTAGAAATGGCACACCCCCAAAAAGCAAGTCTTTATTTTAAGGAAAAAATATATTTGTATTGCATTTACAGAGTTATTTTAAAAGTCATTTGTAAGAGAACCCCAATGATTTAACAGTTTAGAAGAATTCAAATGCTAATTATAGACAATGTGATTTAAGTGGTTTAATATGTGGAAAAAATTTCCTCATAAAAACTATTGCCAGTGCTGCAGTCCTGTTTGAATAATATAACTAATAATCTTAAGTAAACCAACTTCACATGGCTGTAACTTCTAACATGTAAAGCCATAAATTGCTACATCTAACTTAATAATTACATTAAAGTTCAGTATTCAAGGCAAGACAGAGAATGTCTGTAATCTCCCAGTTATCTCTACTAATGGAAGAAAGCAGTCATGTAGAGAATTTGTTCAGTAGATAATGCAAAAAATCATTTATATTACTTTTCAGGTGGAATTATAATGGGTTTTCACAGAGTTATTCATTTTACACTTTGGAATTTGGGGTTTAAAAACATCACTCCCCTGCTTTAGGGTCTCCTCATATTCCAGATTCCTTTGCTTTATAGATGGGACCTAACTCTCTATTGATTCATCTCATCTATCTCCCCTCCTTGACTAGCTCACTCCCATTTTTTTCCTTTAAGAACTAGCCCTGGGGCGCCTGGGTGGCTCAGTTGGTTAAGCATCTGACTTCGGCTCAGGTCATGATCTCACGGTTCGTGGGTTTGAGCCCTGCGTTGGGCTCTGTGCTGACAGCTCAGAGCCTGGAGCCTGTTTCAGATTCTATGTCTCCCTCTCTCTCTGACCCTCCCCTGCTCACTCGCTCGCTCTCTCTCAGAAATAAATAAAACATTAAAAAAATTTTTTTTAAAGAACTAGCCCAAGAGGTACCTGGCTGGCTCAGCCAGTGGAGCATGCAACTCTTGATCTCAGGGTTGTGAGTTCAAGCTCATGTTGGGTGTGGAGATTACTTAAAAATAAAATCTTAAAAAAAAAAAAAAAGAATCAGCCCAAGCTTACCTTCTTCTTGGCATTCCTTTTCTAACATAACACTAGTCTCTGCCATACCACACTCTATTCCCTACTTGTAATAAAACTTACCCTCTGTATTTTAAATTGTTGCTTTACTGGTGTCTCCTTCATATTCTAAACCTCTCTAGCACAGACCATTTTATATCTCTTGCTCTGCATCCAAGGGTTACACTTCATACACATCACATATTGTATACTCAAAAAATGGATTTTGAGGGGCACCTGGGTGGCTCAGTCAGTTAAGTGTCCCACTTCGGCTCAGGTCATGATCTTGCAGTTTGTGAGTTCAAGCCCCGCGTCAGGTTCTGTGCTGACAGTGTGGAGCCTGGAGCCTTCTTTGGATTCTGTGTCTCCCTATCTCTTTATTCCTTCACTCACAGTCTATCTCTCACACTCTGTCACTCTCTCTCAAAAATAAATAAACTTGAAAAAATGGTTTTTGAATGACTAAAAAAATGAAGCACTAAATAAACTATTCATCTATATTACAGATCAACTATGTTATAGATTATTTCATGACCATATATAGTTTCACATGCAAGGCATACCCTCATTGTCAGTATTGTGGTTTTTTTTTTTTTAATGTTTGTTTATTTTTGAGAGAGACAGACTACAAGCAGGGGAGGGGCAGAGAGAGAGGGAGACACAGAATCTGAAGCAGGCTCCAGCCTCTGAGCTGTCAAGAGTTGGACACAGGGCTTGAGCCCATTGTCCATGAGATCATGACCTGAGCCAAAGTCAGAGACTCAACCAACTGAGCCAGCCAGGCGCCCCGTCAGTGTTGTTTTCATGGAGAAATGTTTTAAAGATCTAAGCAGTATTTATTGAACCATCAAACATTTTTTAAGCATTTCCTATCACTGTTTACTTTTAAATAGCATTTAACATGATAGTAATTATTTTTTTTCCAGTGTGTATGTTCCCTTCGTAGGCTATAAAGTCCAGTATTTGACTACTCACACTTATTTTTTTTTATAAATGTGTAATAGATTCATGTTGCTAGGCACCAGAAATGGAAGTGATGGTCAGATCTTGAATAGTGACCGAAAGGAAAGCATTGCAGTCCCACACTGGAATGCAACAAGTGTGTTCAGAGCACTATGTACAATTCATTATGGCGAGGACACAGGAATACCTGGGGAAAATGGATGAGAATTGCAATAAGACTGAAGAAGAAAGCTGTAGGCAGAACATGGAAGAAGGTCTTGTTTGTTACATTGAGGAGTCTGAATGTTATTGGTGATAAAAAAAAAATAAAACCTGCTTATTATTACTAGACCTTTTACAAATGTCTCATTTGATACTCATTCCCACCATATGAGACTGGCATTTCAGTTGCTCTTTATAGATGAGAACTCTTGGGATCAGAGTGATTACTGGCAGATAGCTTGCTCAAGGTAACACAGCTAGGAAGTGGCAGTGTTTCGACCTCAGTCAAGAATTTTGACCTTAAAACTCTTGCTCTTAACCACTGTAGTCTGTTGCTACTTTATTGTCTTGGCAGTAGGTGATTGAGTTTTAAGTAGGGGATGTAGCAGATGCTATTGATACCCCACACTGTATCCCTTGGCACTTCACATTTGTGTGCATACAGGCCCAACTTCCATCTGCCAACACGGAGAATCCTTTGCCAGTTTTTCCTGGCTGCAGCTTTCCCTGGCTCCACCTACAAGTGGGCCAGCCAATAGTGCCAGAGAATTAACAGCCCCTCCCCGATCTCTAACAGTTTTCAGTTGACAAGTGAGGGAAGTGAGTGGAAAGAGACCTTACCTATTGGGCAGGATAGTTCTGAGGCATATGTTCTGCCCTGGCTCTCAGAGTTCCTCTGCAGGATTAAGTTCCAGTTGCCCACAGTGGTGACTACTCCACATTGCACACTTTAATGGCTTGCTTTCCTTCTGTTTCACTTCCCATTCCCCTGTGGTGTTTCCAAGGATTATCTTTTTTTTTTTTTTGAGGAGAAGGCAAAGAGAGAGGGAGTTAGAGGATATGAAGCAGGCTCCATGCTGACAGCAGAGAGCCCAGTGGGGGCTGGAACTCACAAACTATGAGATCATGATCTGAGGTGAGGTGAGCTGAGCCACCCAGGCGCCCCTCTTGGGATTACCTTAAAAACTAACTGCTTGTACTCACATCCATGTTTCAGAGTCAGTTTCTAGGTACATTCAAATTAAGATAGGGAGTAGTAGCAATAGACTGAGCATATCATATGAGTTGGCTTCAGTTTTTCATTATTAAAAATGGTGACACAGGGGCGGCTGGGTGGCTTAGTCGGTTAAGCGTCCGACTTTCACTTAGGTCATGATCTCGCGGTTCGTGGGTTCGAGCCCCACGTCGGGCTCTGTGCTGCCTGCCAGCTCAGAGCCTGGAACCTGTTTCAGAGTCTGTGTCTCCCTCTCTCTCTGACCCTCCCTTGCTCACGCTGTCTCTCTCTCTCTCCTAGAAATAAATAAAAATATTAAAAAAAAAAAATGGTGACACAATGAATATCCTTGTTGCTAGGTATTTATAAATGTTTTTAATTATGTTTTTGTACATTAATTTCTGGCTTATGCATATTTTAAGACTTATGAAAAAATTAGTGTAGGACAATTAAGTTTACAACTTCACTATAAATATATCCTTGGAATAGTGGGCATTATTTTCTTTTTTAACTTTGCCAAGTCAGTAGTCAAAAAATTGTTACTGTCATTTCCTGTGTTTCATTTTGTTTTTTTACATTCAAGGTTAAACTTTTTTTCAAGTAAGTTGCCAGTTCATAGTACTTCATCCACTTTTTCTATTCTTAATTAATTTATAGGAACTTTTTAAAAATTAGTTTCAGCTGTACAGTATAATGATTCAGCAATTCTGTACATTTCTCAGTGCTCATCAATGTGATACTCTTAGTCCCCTTTATCGATCTGTGTATATTCCACCCCCCACTTCTCCTCTGGCAACCACCAGTTTACTCTATTGTTAAAAGTCTTTTTTGGTCTCTTTTTTTTCGTATTTGTTCATTTGCTTTGTTTCTTAAATTCCACATATGAGTGATAACTATATGGTACTTATCTTTTTCTGTCTGAGTTACTCTATTTATCATTAAATCCTCTAGACCCATCCATATTGTTGGAAATGACAAGATTTTATTCTTTTTTATGGCTCTGTGTGTGTGTGTGTGTGTGTGTGTACCCATGCATGTCTCACATCTTTATCCATTCATCTATGAATGAACACTTAAATACACGGGTGCAGGTATCTTTCTCAATTAGTGTTTTTGTCTTCTTTGGGTAAATATCCAGTAGTGGAATTACTGATCATTTAATTCTATTTTTAACTTTTGAGGAACCTCCATACTGTTTTCCACAATGGCTACCCCAGTTTCCATTCCCACCAACAGTGTATGAGGGCTCCTTTTTCTCCCTATCCTCACCAACATTTGTTATTTCTTGTGTTTTTTATTTTAGCCATTTTGACAGATACAGGGGTTGTCTATCACATTGTGGTTTCAATTTGTATTTCCCTGATGATGAGCAATGTTGAGCATCTTTTCATGTGGTTGTTGGCTATCTGGAGGTCTTCTTTGGAAAAATGTATGTTCAGGTCTTCTGCTCATTTTTTTATTTGGGTTATTTGTGTGTGTGTGTGTGGTGTGGAGTTGTATAAGTTCTTTATTTTGGATATTAACCCCTTATCAGATATATCATTTGCAATTTATCTTCTCTCATTCAGTAGATTGCCTTTTCGTTTGGTTGATGGTTTCCTTCACTGGGCAAAAGCTTTTTTTTAGTGTAGTCCCGGTAGTTTAATTTTGCTTCTGTTTCCCTTACCAAAGGATACATATATAGAAAAATGATTCTATGACTAATATCAAAGAAATTATTTCCTGTGTTTTCTTCTAGGAACTTTATGGTTTCAGGTCTCACATTTAGGTCTTTAATCCATTTTGAGTTTATTTTTGTGTATGGTATAAGAAAGTGGTCCAGTTTCATCCTTTTGCATGTAGCTATCCAGTTTTCCCAATCCATTTGTTGAAGAGACTGCCTTTTTCCCATTGTATATTCATACCACTTTGTTGTAGATTAATTAATTGTCATAGGCCATATAAATGTGGGCTTATTTCTGGGCCCTCTATTCTGTTCCATTGATCTGTGTGTCTGCTTTTGTGCCAACATCTACTGTTTTGATTACTGTAGCTTTGTAGCATATCTTGAAATCCGGGATTGTGATACCTCTAGCTTTTTCAAGATTATTTTAAGTGAACCTTAAGATTATCAATAACTCTCTCATTATTGCAAAAATTTTCCCAATTTCGTATTTGCCATATAATTTTGTTTACAGTACTGAACATTCAAAATTTTTAAATTTAGCCCAAATCACTAATCTTTTCTGTATGTTTCTTGCCTTTGGTATAATGCTTATTGGGTCCTTTCCAAGCCTAAGGCTATATAACTGTTAACTAATATTTCCTGGAACCTTTAGGGACCATTTATACTACATTAAATATTTGCTGTGTTGGAATTTATTTTGGTGTAAGGAAGAGGGCTTTGTTTTCTCTTAAATGGGTAAGTGGCTGTACTGAAATCATTTTTTAAATATATTTTTTATTTATTTTTGAGAGAGAGAGATAGAGACAGCATGAGCAGGGGAGGATCAGAGAGAGAGGGAGGCACAGAATCTGAAACAGGCTCTAGGCTCTGAGCTAGCTGTCATCACAGAGCCCGATGCGGGGCTCGAACCCACAAACCGCGAGATCATGACCTGAGCCAAAGTCGGACGCTCAACTGACTGAGCCACCCAGGCGCCCCCTGAAATCATTTATTGAAGTCTATCTTTCCCTTACTGCATATGCAAGAACCTCACTCAAATTGCCTTTAAAAATAAAAGGTATTGCTTTATATAACCTTAAATGGGTAATAAAGGTTTTAAGTATGCAATGTCAAGGCTCAAATTTGATGCAGTTTTCTTGGAATTTTCCTGAAGCTTCTTTCATGATAACAAAATGGCTGCAACATTCCCAAGCCTTACACTGCATACTGTACCATAACAAGAAAGACAGTAGTTCTTATTTCCTGCAATAACATAAAAACAAATATTCCTGTAATTCACTGTAAATGGATGACCTAAATCTGTCTTTGTGGCTGAAGAAATGCCATATACTAATTAGTTTGGATTTGGATTTCTGCCTATTTTTAACCTAATCTTGTAGCAAGTTAGATATGATCATTCTGAATGGTTTAGACCTATCAGGATTTACCTTGAACCACATAGTTGCTGCTCAGAGAGAGTAGGGGCAAAATATGTGACATGAGGATTCCATATTCCTTGTGCCTATTGGTTTAAAATGTTATGGGGCACCTGAGTAACTCAGTCCGTTAGGCCTTTGACTTCAGCTCAGGTCATGATCTTGCAGTCTGTGGGTCTGGGCCCCATGTCCAGCTCTGTGCTGACAGCTCAAAGCCTGGAGCCTGCCTCAGATTCTGTGTGTCCCTTATTCTCTGTCCCTCCCCCACTTAGGCTCTCTCTCAAAACTAAATAATAAAACATTAAAAAGTTTTTTGAAACATTACTAGTATTATATTTGCAATATTCAGACATTCTTGAATTGGTTTCAGAATACTAGTTTTTTGATCCTGGTTATGTTCCTACATTACTACCACATTATTTAAACTATTATATCTTAGTCAAACATTTGTAGGGCAAATTCTCCCCTCATTACTTTCCTAATGAAAAGATTTCTTGTCTGCAAAGGACATGTTAAATGACACCAAGAGGATACAATCAGAAAATACAGACAGTGTAAAATTCTAGAATCCAAATAAAACTTCTGTTCATATTTTGTATTGTTTATATATTAATTTGAGGAGAATTACTGATTTTAAAGTGTTTTGTCCTGGTCCATTTATTCAATCTTTTTTTTTTTCTGTGAAGTGTTATGGTTTTCTTCATATTTATCCTTTTTAAGTTTACTCCTGCCGTAACATGTTTTTTTTTTTTTTTTTTTGTATCTATTGAGAATATTACCTGGCTGCCTTCATAGATTTAAGTTGCTATTCTTATACTGACCATTTTGTCATTTAAAATTTGCCCTTTGCAGAGTGCCTGGGTGGTTATTGGTAGGTGTGATTCTGAATTGTGCCTCAGGTCGAGATCCTGGGGTCATAGGATGGAGCCCTGCTTCGGGCTCTGCGCTGAGCATTATTGGGGTTCTCTCTCACTCCCTCTGCACCTCTCCCATTTGCATGCAGTCATACGTATGCTCTCTCCCTTAAAAAAAAGTAAAATAAAAAATTTAAAAAATAAAATCTGTCCTTTGTATTTAGATATAAAATAGCTTCCAAGTAGCTTAATTGGGAAAACTTAGTGGACTTGGCTGGTATATTTTAATATTTTTTACTTTGTATGCAATATGCCAGGATTTCCCAATCTCAAAACTAGTTTTTAACATCCCGGACTAGATAATTCTTTGTTATGGCAAGCTGTCCTATGCACTGTAGAATATTTAGCTATATTCCTGGCCCCTACCCATTAAGGTGACCAACTTGCCTTGAATTACCTGGGACTGTTCCAGTTTTGCAACTGATAGTCCCATGTCTCAGGAACCTCCTCAATTTCTGGTAAACAAGAGCATTTATTCACCCTGTCTACTTACTACATCACGATAGTGTACTCCCCTATCCCATTTTAGCAATCAAATATGTCTCCAGACATTAGCAAATGTTCCCAGGGAGCAAAACTGCCCTCTGGTTAAAAACCATTATCCTACAGATAAGCAGAAAATCTCATGTTGTGTGTGGGAGCCCACCAGCCAAACATTACAAGGAAAATATTAATGGTGAAACAATTTTAGGTTCATTCAAACTGCTTTACGTACAAATAATTTTTCATATGTATACCACTCAAGTTCATATTTTTTGTACAAGCTAATGTAAAAATTACTACAAATGGAGTGACAATTATGCAGTTTTCAGCAAATATTTGTAGGCTTTGAATTTATTTTATGTAACTTTTAGGGAAGGTTTAAGACATCAGGCAAAACCAGTTCTTTCTGCATTCTCTGTTATTCTGAGTTTAATAAATTCAGGTTTCTACTTTATGTTTTAGAGTAATTGCATTTGGTAGCCAAATATTTAGTAATCATACTCTTGTACTTTCTGCTTCAGGCAGAAAATGTAACTGTGACAAAGGATTTTAGAAGAGTGGAAAATGCTTATCACATGGAAGCAGAGGTATGTACTTATCATGAAAAATAATTGGAAACAGCATGACTTTGTGGGGACAATTTGCATTTATTTTTATTCTTGAGCTGAAATGTATAGGAGGAGTGCTTCTCATGATATATCTATAGATATAGATATAGATATAGATAGATAGATAGATAGATAGATATAGATACCCAGCATGGAGCTTGAACTCACAATCCAGAGATCAAGAGTCACATGCTTTTCCAACTGAGCCAGCCAGGTGCCTCTGTAGGAGGTTTTAAAATAAATTTTAATGAGGTATATATAAGAGAAATTGTTTTGAAATGGAATAAAAACAGCAAGAAGGAAATAGTTAATTGCCACTTGAATAAAATTTTAGTAAAGTTATCACCTAGTGAGCAGGAAAACTCTATAGGAAATTTCTTCTCAGTTAAAAAGCAAATTAATAGAGTCCTAAAATAAGGATTGAAACATTCTTTTCTTTCGTAATGCAGTTTTACTGTGTTGTAAGTTATCACTTGGGTTTTGTTTTTTTTTTTTTTTTTTTATAAAAATCACTTGGAACACCTGGCTAGTTCAGTCAGTAGAATGTGTGACACAGTATCTCGGGGTTGTTAAAGTTTGATCCCACATTGGGTGCAAAGATTATTTAAAAATAAAAATTAATCGGGGCGCCTGGGTGGCTTAGTCGGTTAAGTGTCCGACTTTCGCTTGGGTCATGATCTCGCGGTTCATGGGTTCGAGCCCCACGTCGGGCTCTGTGCTGACTGTCAGCTCAGAGCCTGGAGCCTGTTTCAGTCTGTGAATCCCTCTCTCTCTGACCCTCCCCTGCTCACGCTGTCTCTCTCTCTCTCTCCTAGAAATAAAAAAAAAATTTTTAAAAAAAAATAAAAAAATAAAATAAAAATAAAAATTAATCAACTATGACCCTAACCAACAATGTTGCCATAAAGACTCTGTCAGTATATCCTAAGATAAGTAAAAAATAAATTCTTTATTGCTACAGTATTTCTCTGGTAACTTGCCAGCTAGGAAGACAAGTTTAGTACATCATGATTTGTTCTTAATAATCTCAAATCTACATGCTCGATAGATTGGCCTTTGGATAAAAATAATTTGGCAGTGGTTGAGAAAGGTAGGAATTAGAAGAAAAGCTTAGAGCTGGTGAACTTCACTCAGATGAGTTTTTACCTAATGTCTTATCAAGAAACTCAATACTTAAAAGATTTTACTCTTAAATTCTTGTGTCCTTATTTTTTCTTCCCTGAATGCTTTCTTGGAGAACCATTAAAATGAGAAAGCCCTGTATTCTTTTCTTCAGCAATGGGACTAAAAACAAAATCTGGAGATTTAAAAAAGAAGAAAATAGTAGGTTGCAGCAATACCAAAAAAAAAAAAAAAAAAAAAAAAAAAAAAAGAGAGAAAACATATAAAGTACTTGAGGCCTCTGGCAAAGTAACAAAATGAATCACAAGGCCCTATCTTGTTTCTCAGAGAAACCTTTTTTTTTCCTTTCCTATTTCCTTACAAACTATTGCTTTTAAGTATTTATTTTGAGAGAGAGGGAGCGTGTGGGGGTGGGAGGGGAGCAGCAGAGAGAGAGAGAATCCCAAGCAGTCTCCGCACTGTTAGCACAGAACCCGACAAGGGGCTAGAACTCACAAATTGTGAGATCATGACCTGAGCCAAAACCAAGAGTCAGATGCTAAACCAACTGAGCCACCCAGGCACCCCACAAACTAATTTTTAAAGTAATCTTCTAGAATCTTGCCCAGAATTGAAAGGTGTCTAGACTACTACGTGTAATTTGTTGAGTTTTATAAACTTGCCCTTTTTGGAAATTAGAACTATAAATATTTTTAAAGAGGCATATGGCCTGTTTCTCTATGGTAATTGAGATTAGCAATAATTTAGAAGTCACATTTGCAGAAATTTTTAATAAACTGAGATTTGATTTATCCAAGAGACAAATTCATTAAAAGCAATTAAAAGCTCACCTTTGGGGGTGCTTGGCTGGCTCAGTCATTAAAGCATGAGACTTTAATGACTTGATCTTGGGGTCATGATTGAGTTCCACGTTGGGGATAAGTTTACTTAAAACTGGCCTATTTTGGAATTCAGTGTCTTTTTCAGTACTGAAATTTCTAAACTAATGAGGATTCTTCTTGACCATAGAGATGGGAAGCATTTATGTATCAATCTGTTTTGTAATTTAATATAGGTACTGTGTAAATGTGTATATGTGTATACATTTGTAATCACATTATTTTACTACAATGAAACATATAATTAGGATTCTGAATATATGGATTTATCTTTATCTTCAATGTATTAGATACTTAGAATATTTTTATCCTAAATACCTCTCTAAAAATTGTGATGCAGTGTCTCTATTCTTCAGCAAAGTGACTCTACTTCATTAACTTGGATTTCTATCTAGCTACATTTTGATTATATACCACATTGCTGAATTTAAAAGCAGAAGTTCAGGGAATTGGAAGACTTAAAACAGTCCTTGAACAGTTAGAAAAAGAGAAAACAGTTTTTTTCTGCAAAATTTACTTGTTAATCATTTAACACAAATACTCCTAAACTATATTTTGTTCATGGTCTGTTTATCAATATAGATGTACTTAAAAAAGCTACATCTGCTAACTTTTTAAGTCATGGTAATGGTAAGAGGATGAAAGGCAGAGAAAATCTTGTTTGAGCAGCTAGGAGCTGAACTGATCTCAACAGACACATTTTCCTGTTATTTATAGAAATAGAACAAGTAAATACCACATATTAAACCTGATTCTGTGGGATTAGATTTGCCTCAAGTGAATAGGGGTGAAGGGGAATTGAAGAAGGAAGAATTAGTATCTTTTCTGCAACCTGCTTAGGAATTTTCACTGTCCTTCCTTCCAGATAATTTTTTTTTTTTTTAAGCAAAAAAGAATACCATGCATGCATACAAAAGATTCAGCAGGTTTCATAGGAAAGCAGGTATATTTGTAAAAATTATTTTTAAGCTGACAAAGTAGAAATTGGAATAATTTTTAAAAATAAAATTGATTTCAAGGGCACTTGTATAGCAAAGAATTGCTTTTGTTGACAGTTGGAACCTGTTATATTCAATCCCTTCAATCTGAATGCAGAGAAACCCTTTGAACTCTCATATTTGGTTACCTTCCAACTTCCAGAATCACTGTAAATTTTGCTGTTTCATTACATGTAATGAAATGTATGTACAGTGCCTCTGCGGCATTTTTATGGATTAAATATAGCAACAAAAGATAGAGGATTTTTTTCCACATTTAAACTATGCAAATGCAGAAAGTATTATATTGTTTGTATTTCTTATTAAAGACAGCCTGTAGGCATTTTGGAGCTGTGATTTTCACCCAGGAAGGAAATATAAATTTGGAAACTACCCAGAGGTTAAAAACTAGCAACCTGGGTATGACTGGGGAAATTGATTTTGACTAACAGAAAAGTTTATTAGCCCATATAGTATTTAAAAATGTGTGTGTGCGTGCACACACACACACACACACAGAGTTCTCTTCAAAAGACAGACAAGACTTCTGCTTGTAAGGTAGAATAACATGGACCAAATTAACCTTCCCACCTGAAACAGCCAAAAAATGGAAAAAGTATATGAAACAATGATTTTCAAAAGAGTGGACATAAGGCAATGAAATACAGTGATCCCTGAGAAAAAGGAAACCAACAAAAGTCCTACAGTTGTCCTAGCTCAGTGTCTTAATGTGTCCAGGCAGCTTCACAGGGAAGGGAACCCAGACAGAGCCTAGCAAACTCCTTGTACTGAGGAACTGGAATTGAAAGTCCAAACAAGACAGCTAGAGTTAAGAGTAGAGGGCTGCACAGAGAGAGGTCTTCGGCGAACCACAGAGGGGCACCCCCACCACCGCCCCCTGCCAAGTACTCAGCACACACATGTGTGAAAATTATCTGAGGCTAGAAAAAGAATCACACCAGGATTTACAGGGAACAGTGTCTGGGGTTCATACAGGGCTGTACAGCACCAGTCAGACTAGAAAATGTTACAAATCATAGGGCATGAGGTGGAGTATATGAAACTATCTTGCCTCATCAGGGGGCAATAATTAGAGTCACGCTGAACACACTCCAGTCCCACGTAACAGATCTTAAAAGCAAACCCAAAGGGATCAGTTTCCAAGTAAGTTGACAGTTCTAGAATAAAGAATTATTTATAGAGATACAAGAATATCCAATACTTCCCCTAAAGTTAATTCACAAGGATTACCTGGTATGCAAAATAGCATGGAAATAAAGCTCACAGTAAAGAGGAAAGTCGAACCAACCAACAACCAATACAGATGTTAAAATTAACAGACAAGGTTATTAGTTATTACTATTTCATATGTTCAAAAGGAGAGACACTATTAAAAATTAATAAAATTTAATAATTTAGTTATAAGTATCAAATAGGCTACATAAAATGACCTTGTTTTCTGGCTTTAATTTTTTTACTCATATTTAGAGAAAACTTTTATTTTTATAAGTTTTACTGAAGTAATCTTTATGCACAATGTGGGGCCCAAATCTATGACCCCAAGATCAAGAGTCACTTGCTGCTCCAAATGAGCCAGCCAGGCACTCCTAGAGAAAATTTTAAAAGAATCCATCAGGCATGAAAATAATTTCAAGTGTTATTTCATTTACAGGTCTGCATTACATTTACTGAATTTGGAAAAATGCAAAATATCTGTAACTTTCTTGTTGAAAAGCTAGATAGCTCTGTCGTCATCAGCCAACCTCAGTTCTATCATACTCCAGGATCTGTTGAGAATCTTCGGTAAGTTAAGCACATCTTTAACTAAGTTATCAATTAATTAAACAAAACTATTCAGTACTAAAGTTCATTGAATGTCATATTAATAATCTCTGCATTTAATTCCTAAGACGGCAAGCCTGTCTTGTTGCTGTTGAGAATGCATGGCGCAAAGCTCAAGAAGTCTGTAACCTTGTAGGCCAAACTCTAGGAAAACCTTTATTAATCAAAGAAGAAGAAACAAAAGAATGGGAAGGCCAAATAGATGATCTCCAGTCATCCAGACTATCAAGTTCATTAACTGTACAACAAAAAATCAAAAGTGCAACAATACATGCTGCGTCAAAAGTTTTTATAACTTTTGAAGTAAAGGGGAAAGAGAAGAAAAGAAAAAATCTCTGAAATTCCAACTAAAATATATTGTATTTTTTTAATTTTTATACTTTTTATGTTTGTTTTTATCCTGAATATATATATTGTATAGTATATATATAAAGTATTTCTCCCCCAAATCTGTCAGCCCTTGAATCTAGTCAATACCTAAGCTTACTTTCTATTTTTAAAAACTATGAAAAATACTCTGAAAACAATGTGTTCTATGTGCGTACTTTTATACTGACAATATAAGTGATGTGTAACAAATTTTTCTATTTCTACTACAGGAATAAACATTGGCAGTTATTAGCATGATTCTTAACATTAATAGAAAGTATAAGGAGGAATACATAACTTTTGATAAAAGCAGAGTGAGGTATACTAAGAAAGTATTTTGATCCCAGAAATAAAATAAATGGACCAGATCCTCTTCACCAGACTCCTGTGATTGATTATACCAGCACTCTGTAATTTAAAATTAGTAGACACATATAAAAAAAAGTAAAAAGTAAAATAGAAAGCAATTAAACTAAGTTTAATAATATTAAACTGTTTAATTTAGTATGTCCAAAATATCATTTCAGCATGTAGTCAATATTTTAAAAATAACTAATGGATCTTTATATAGTATACATTTTATGTTATAACAAACCTTAATTCAGATGCTAAATTTTCATCAGAAATATTGATTTGTATTTATTTCCTAAAATGTAGTTGAAAAAATAGATTCACACGCATACAGGTTGTTACAAACATGCTTAAAAGATCTAGTAACTGCATTAAGTAGCAATTTCAAGTAGCAATTTTCAAATTAACATTTTTAAAAATTTAAAATTCAGTTCTTTGTACTAGCCACATTTTATACTTGAAAGTGGTTTATGGCTACTGTGTTGGACAGTGAAGGGTTATACACTGAGATAATACTGATTGTAAGGCTGTCTGAGATGTATAACAGCAAGTACATGGCATTGCTATTGCATTGCACATTATCTACAGGTGATCATAAAGCAAGACTGTTACGTAGCACAGGCTTTCCATTCCCCACCATAGAGTTATATAGGTCCTAGGGTTCTTCCTTTGATATATCTTGCTACTCATATACCAGTATTTCTTTCCTACAGCACACTCAGGAATGTAGTTTACATCCCCACCTACTTTCTTAAATGGTACTAAAACAAATTTATTCATCTCCTGAGTAGTGTGTCATTGGCAGGAGGGAGTGTGAAAACTAAGAAAAAAGTTTTAGAATCTAACACCCTGTGTTCAAATCCAGACTTTATTACTAGAATATAAGCTCCTTTAGAATGAAGATCTTGTCTTGTTCACAACTGCACTGTCAGACCCAGCATAGTGTCAGGGCCAACACAGAGTAGGCTCTCCAATACCTGCTGTACAAATTTACCAGTGGTGTAAACTTAGTAAGACATTTTAATCTCTTTAAGCTTCTCTTTCCTCACCAATGAAATGAGGCTAAAAATCTATGTTGCAGTGTTTCTATAAGGATTAAAGCTGATAAATACAAGACCACAAGAATAATACCTAGCACCATAGCTATCACTCACTAAATGGTTGCTATTATAGCAACTGCATTCTTTGATTACTAGCAACCCAATTAAAAGTTTGAATTTAAAGTCATATTAAAAACAAAGTTATCACAAAAACAGTTTAAGATAGGTTTTTATTTCCAAAAAACAAAGCTAAATAAATTCAATTGTAGCTTTCATTTATCCAGTTGGATAGGAAAATATTATTGGGGCTGAACATCAAGAAAAAATTGTTTTTATTCAATAAAAATTTAATTATGTTCATAGATTTTTCTTAGCTGTATCTTTATTACATTTTGGTTCCATTATATTTGGTAAAGCTTTTCTACTTAGCATGAAATACCTAAAAACAAATTTAAATTACCAAGTTTTTTTTTTAAATTTATTTTTTAATAAATTTTTTAAGGAATTTTTTAAGGTTTTGCTTTAAAAAAAAAAGCCTATAAAAAGGGCAGTCCTACAATTCTGTAGAGCAGCTAAGAGAAAAAAAATCCTTCAAAGATCAGACTGCCTTATGTATAACATCCTATGTTCTTAAGACCAATGGCATCAAATTTGGTTGTCAGTTGATGGAGTTGAATTTCTGACACGTGGCATATACTAGAATCTCAATGAATTATTCAGGGGACCTGTGCCACAAAGCCTGCTAGAATAAGCCTACCCCAAACTTAATCCTGACCATTTTTTCTAAACCCCCTTTAAAAAAAATCTTTCTAGGGGCGCCTGGGTGGCTTAGTCGGTTAAGCGTCCGACTTTCGCTTAGGTCATGATCTCGCGGTTCGTGGGTTCGAGCCCCGCGTCGGGCTCTGTGCTGACTGCCNGTGACTCCCTCTCTCTCTGACCCTCCCCTGCTCACGCTCTCTCTCTCTCTCCTAGAAATAAATTAAAAAAAAAAAAAAAAAAAAATCTTTCTAGAAAGCAGCAAATTATAATTGCTGTTTTCTGAAAGAAAAAAAGAATCTTCCAATTAGGATAGCTGAAACAGACCCAGTATATCCCAAGCGCCTCTGTAAAATGAACTACTATTAAGTACGTTTTCTGAATATTATCAACAAAATTTAGGATTCTATTCAGTTACATGGTAAAGAGTACATTTTTTTGTAGTAGCAATTTACCTTATTTTTAAGTATCAGTGTTCTTACTTGACAGTTAATTTTTAGGTCAATGTAAATAAGACCTGGAAAAGTAGTTTATAATTTAAGATGCTGTACTTCATATTCCATAATTATTGTTACGTCTTCCTCAGGAATGTAGGTCAATGATATCCCAATTCTGTCTGATATGTTGAGGAGAACTTGATAGCGAGAAATTCTTTTCACTGGCCTAAAAATATAAAAACATGAATTAAGAGGTCAAAAATGGGAGTTAATATATCATTATTTACATTACAAAACTGTGTAGGAGACAAATGCTTTACTATTCATTCCTCAAAAAACCCACTATATAAATTAGTTTAAAATAACATTTAATATTTTTATGCATATTGTGTTTACAGTCAAATAGCTTCTACTGATAATCCAATGTGGCCTAAATTACTTTAACATGTTCAGTTTTGTTTAAAAGACTAGAATTCACAGTGGCTAATCCAAGTCAAACACTGTTCTCGGGGTGAGGTAATAGACATTTTTCAAGAGAGATGATTTGTGCTATTTTATTAAAAGAATAATACCCTTTCTTGTTTATCAGGATGGTATTTATGTTTCAGCCACTCTTCTGGAGATCTGGCTTCAACATCCTAACCAACAATTACTCCCAGATAGCCATGGTGATTGTGGATGATCACCAATCTCACCTCAAAATAGTGTCCAGCCTATCTTAGTTTCCACACTAGGGATGAAAATCCCAGATTGCAGGAGAAAGCGCTAGCCTAAATGATCCTGAAACAAGTAAGTGATCCCTAAATTAAAAAAAAAAAAAAAATCTTCCAACTACCATATTACTTACCATCTGGCGTGGCGGGTGAGTGGTGGAATGTGTGTATATTTTTTTTTTAAATATAAAGATTGTATCACTTGTCCTCTGCTTGCCTTCTGCAAACAACTTTGGGCAAAGAGTTAAAAACAGATAAGTAGTGCCAACACTTCATACATACATCAGGTTTGCACTGATCACATTAATTATACACTAATTACATAGTCTACACAAGACTATGAATTCCTTAAGAGCCTGGCTATATCTTAAACATTTCTTTTCCTACTATCTGAGTAATAAAAGGCTAAGAAGAAGAAAAGCTGGCTGCCAGATATTTTCTTTTATCCCCTATAGAGGAATAGCATTTATAGCAGAGTATAATGCTGGTACATATAGAAGTAGAGAAGGAAAATGCAAAGCACTGGTTCCAGAATGTACATTCAAAATGCCCATTTTATCACTAAATGGGTATGTTTTTTTTTTTTTTTTTTAATATTTTATTTATTTCTAGGAGAGAGAGAGACAGTGTGAGCAGGGGAGGGTCAGAGAGAGAGGGAGTCACAGACTGAAACAGGCTCCAGGCTCTGAGCTGGCAGTCAGCACAGAGCCCGACGCGGGGCTCGAACCCACGAACCGCGAGATCATGACCTAAGCGAAAGTCGGACGCTTAACCGACTAAGCCACCCAGGCGCCCCTAAATGGGTATGCTTTTATTTCTCCAAAGCTTAGCTCTCTCAGAAAGTAAGTCTGTGGCTATGCAATAACATATTTTGTTGTTTAAATTAATCTCTTAAATTATTTCAGAACCTATATTCACTTTAAGCTTATAGATCAGCTCTAAGTGTCCATCTCTGCTCTTTACCTGCCTGCAAAACTGAGTCATTGTCACTTGTGTAATATCACAAATGCCTCACCGATAGGGGGCACGGCTCAGGGAAAGCTGCTTTTGAAATTCTGACTGCAACCACTATAAAACTGCATCTAATAAATTAAGTTAACTTTTAATAAACAGATGCTTAAATCTAATTTGTTTCCATTAGCATTAATTTTATTTTCAAAGCTTATTTTATAAAACCATATTTGTATTTGATAGCAATAATGCATTTGTAGCTCATACAAAAAGTTTTTTCTCTTTATTGAATTAGTAACATTTACTGTAGTTCCAATTTAAAAAAGTTGGTATGATTCAAATATATCAACTCTAGCCCAAGTAAGTAAATAGCATCAAAAGAAAATTTTTCTTAGTTTATGCTAAATTAATCATGGGAAGTCTAAGATATCATGTTCTATATTGGAATGGGGGTAAAGTGTAATTAATGCTGAATGTCAACCAAATAAATACAAAACTATTTTTAATGTGTCAAGTGTTTCACCAGCTCAATACTAAAGCATAGATTTCTTTTTCATCATCATTGTACCTATTTCTAAAATGATAAAGATGCAGTGATTACAAATTGAGGTGTCTCTGCAAAGAAGCCAATATGAATATGCAGCAGAAACCTTTAAAATATGTATTTGCAGGGGCGCCTGGGTGGCTTAGTCGGTTAAGCATCCGACTTTCGTTTAGGTCATGATCTCGCGGTTCGTGGGTTCGAGCCCCGCGTCG